TCGAAGACCGATAACAAGATTACATCGGCAACAGCAAAACTAATCTCTTGTCAGATTTCGAAAGAAAAAAGCTATATTTACGATTAAATAATCGGGGCTACCTTTTACACAAATGCTTGTCTCGTTGCGCATCTTCAGCGCTTGCTTCGACTGCGGAGATCCTGGTCCACGAGGATTTCGCCTTGAATCTTGATCCTTTCGCACTGGACATTATTCCCATAGATTGCACCGTAGAATTTACAGTTTCTGTACACTTATTCTCATTTTCCCTTGGTTTCTCAAAAGCTTTTCCTTGGCACACAACACACACAATATGCTATCAACTATTCTCGTGTGTTAGGACGCAGATAAGTGTGTCTGTCTGTCCGTTAATAATTCGTGTGCTGCTAGTATCTAGACTGCGGACATACATACAGGCATTTTAACTCGAGAAGACCCCTTTACAGTCAAGGGAATATTCGATTTTACCTTGACTATCGAAGACGATAAAACACAAAATAGAATGATACTGTATTTTTCTCTACTTTGAATATCGCCATAGCATTATACTTTCCCATGCTGTTAACAGAAATTATTGAGGAAATCACTTACATTTTCGTCGGATTCATCTTTATCATCATCAATACTTTCTTTGCTAAAATGACGGTGAATATTTTTGGTATGACTTTCTTGTTCGTAAGGTTCCTTCACGGTTAATAAATCATCCTCATTGTCTTCATCATGTAACTTTTGTGTGTGAAGTATCTGATAGTATGGACCTTGTTTATTTAAGATTAACTGATTATGACTACCTCGTTCAATAATTTGTCCTTTACTAATAACATTAATATAATCAACATTTCGTATGGTTGATAAGCGATGAGCAATGAAAATCGTCGTGCGACCTTTCCGAAATAGTTTAATCCATTTGAATGATATAAAGAAATAATGGTCATTTTTATATCTTTACCTCTACATGCTCTATCAATAGCTTCTTGTACAATTTTTTCATGATGATCATCTAATGCACTTGTTGCTTCGTCGAAGAGCAATATTTTTGGATTACCGATGAGTGCTCGAGCAATAGCGACTATGTGAATGAGAAACACTTATCTTTTGTATAAAAGTAAGAAATCAATTAATTTGAAAAGCAAGTACTTCTTTGTTTTTGTCCCCCACTTAATTGTATACCACGTTCACCGACCATTGTATCATATTTCTAGATGAATACAACAAGAAAAACAAAGAGAAACGAAGAAAGTCAGTTTCTTACATTTGGTAATTTCATGATAAACTCATGTGCACTCGCTTGTTTACTTGCTTCTTCTATTTCACTCATCGATATTTTGTCCTTCTGATTGCTACCGTAGAGAATATTTTCATAGATTGTCGTGCCAAACAAGATCTAGAAACATTTTATTTATTATATGAAAATTGAAACAATTAGAGAATGTCATTTACCGGTTCTTGACTAACTACACCAATTTGTTGTCTCAACCATGTGACATTGTACTCTTGAATTGGACGACCATCGATTCGAATTATACCGGATGTTGGCTCATAGAAACGTAATAACAAATGAAAACAGCTGCTCTTACCTGATGGAAATAAAACAGAAAAATGAATCGTGCAAATAAAAGTAATGCAATACATTAGTTAACAAAGAAAGTTTACCAGCTCCACTAGATCCGACCAAGGCCACTTTTTCACCATGACTAACAACTAAATTTAAATTGTCTAATGCTTTAATGTCTTTTCTTGTTGGATATGAAAATTGAACATTATTAAATTCAATATCACCAACTATACCAATATTTTCTTTAATCGCATTATTTGTTTGAGATAAATTATCGCTAAGTAGTTCCTGTGAACGAGATAATCCTTTATACCTCATATATTTTGTCAATAAAATCATGCCTCTTTCTCAAGAATTTGCCAAATTTCGGTAGCTGCCGCACTTCCTTCAGACAGTGATTGAATATTTTGAGCCAAACCGCCAGTAAAGAAAATATTTTCTACAATAGCTGAAATTATCTTCGAAAAAACATAAAATTTAATATTCTGAAGTCATAGATTTACGCCAAGTGTCTTTCTGCCAATGATGTAAATGAAACTTTTTATGCCAATTGGTATTAAAAGAATTTTCACAGCATCATTGGCATAAACGTAAAACGGTTATACCAATTGCTATAAGAGCTGAAAAAAAGAACATATTGGCCTTTTTTCTTGCCGCACTGCGTGTCAGCATTTTAATTCTTTACGTGAACAAATAAATATAGATTAATAAAAATGGTAAAGTCGCGTTTCGCCAATTCAACTTTCGCCAATAGACATTCGCCATACTGGCGACTGGCGAATGTCCACACGACATTCGCCATTGTTCGTTATTCAGACTACACGCAGCGAAAAGTCGATGCACTACAACATATTAAATATTTTGCAAAATGAAGAAAAAAGTTCACTTGAAACTCACGGAATTATATTGGCGTAAAAAATGGATGTTTCTGTCAAAGGTATAACTGTTTAATTTTTATACTAGTTGGTATAAAAATTGTGTTTATGCCAATATTGGTTTAAAAGTTTTTTTTATATCAATTGGCATAAAGCTAGTTCGTTTATACCATTGGCAGAAGGACACTTGGCGTAAATCCAAAACCCCAATATTTTATTTTTTTTTGTATGTCAAGCACATTGATAAAAGAATCTTACAAAACTAATTTCTCCAATTAAATCATTTTTATTCATTTGATCATTAGTTTGTAAAATGAGTCGATAACCGAAATATAAACCAGTTGAATATGTAATAAATAGTATCATTGAATAAGTACCCATATAACATCCAAATAGAATGCCTTTTTTTATAGTTTGACGTTTGCATGAATCCAAATACTGAGTATAGCTAAACAAGAACAAAAACAATCTCATATGACAGCTTCGTGTAATGGTACTTTTATTAATTATTACCGTAGTTGTTCATATTGTGAACCATTATAAGCAAAAACTGTTCGGATTGAACTAAATATTTCTTGTGCTATTGCGCCACACTTTGAATATGACTTTAATTCATCCATTGTTATCAATGCCATTAACTAAAATAAAATAATGAATAATAACAAAAGACAACAATATGAATGCTTTTATTATAAAATAGTCATCCTATACTTTTGCAAATATCAACCAATTCACTATTAATAACGGTAATACTGCAAGCATAACTAATGTTAATTTCCAATTTATGATAAAAGCTAATAAACTGGCACTAACACAAGCGGCAGTCAACACCAAAAGGCTATATAAGTTGTAGCCTAGACTATCGTGAATTCTATCCATATTTCTACAAAACATAAGAATTACTGACGGCAACTGATTTTTACTACGTTTTGGGAGAACATACGTTGATAACTTTGTACTCATTTCACCTGCTTTGTATATATCGTAATAAGAGATATCCTAAAAAACGTTTGGTAGAATGAATCGATATATATATATATATATATTGGATTGAATCTTGCTCTTGTTAAGAGAAATTTGTATAATTTAATACGAATACGATTTGTTAGCCGTTTCGAAAATAAAGTTAAAAATAAATTACCAAACAAGCTAAATAACATTGCTATGCTTCCAACTCCTACAGCATATTAATTAAACTGTTTAAATTCAAATAAATTTAATTCATTTTCCGAAAAATGATAGATAGTGACCAAATAACAAGTTTACCTAATATGTAATAGAGTGTTTTGTAAGCTTCATGGTCAAACATACTCAATGGTGATGATGTTGAAATAATACCGTTACTATTGTGAGATCTGTCAGAAAACAAACACACAAGCCAATATTTAAATAAGTCAATAAAAAATCAGCCAGAGCTTACGTAGAATTACGAAAACTATTTATTCTTCTAGATTCTACTTTTTGTGTTTGATTTAACTCTTGATTATTTAAATCCGACAATGTTGGATTAAAATAGAATACAAACGTTGAAACTACCTGACCAAATAGAAGATAATATAAGGTATAACAGATACCATTGATAATTACTAAACAAACAGCTGAGATAAGTAATATGCGATCTAAACGATCAGCATAACGAAACAAATGATACACATTTAGTGTTTTTCTTTTGTTGGTTTGTTCTTTTTCTTCGTTCTTGAATTTCGTGTACTTATTACTACTAAATCGACTGCATAAACTAATCAGAGGTTTGAGTATTCTTAAATAACAAGAGGAAAAGCCTTAAATGCTATCACATGAGTTTACTTACCTGTAAAATGACGATAATTTTTGTTGCTCATTAAGTCTTATCGATCCATAATTGTGATTTGTATTATTAATTAAACTGTTAGAATCAAGATAACCACTTTCGTCCATCATATTAATTTAAATGAAAATACTTCAAATAATTCTTAAACTGTAAATATCTATCGTTATTCTCTTACATCTTCTTTTTCTATATGTACAACAACAAGGTTATCCAATTTGTTCTCAATTTTCTTTTCGTTTCACTCTCTCTTTCTCGCTGTTTTTACTTATTTCGTTATCATTTATGTAGGTAATTTTCCTTTTCTGGATTTTTCATAGTTAGAAAGACATGTGAATGAGAGAAACAGAGGATAAAATTAAAAGATTTGTTTAGTAGCCTAAATGCGTCGTGTATTGTTGTACAGGCTGACTATAATCGACTATATTGCTAGTCAGATTTGATTGATCACTCCCGAATGATACGCCTTGCTTGTTCTATACAACCGATACCTACTAAACGTTTTTAGTATGAAATGACAGATAATTCTGGATGAGCAACAGGAAAGAGAAGCGAGATAAACAACAAGTAGTCAAAGCTTCGTGCACTAATGCAGTTTGTGACTACAGAACTCCCATGAGAAGGGAGGATGATGTTGGTCTGAATATTGTTAGTTAGTTAGACCCACTACCTTTCGGTGTAGCGTAAGACAACATAAAAGAAGTACACAAAAAATACACAAATAAAAGAAGTGTTTACCAAAAATCAAAGCGATTGTGTTAGAAATCGAATTCATGTGAATAAGAAATATAAATCATTAAAATGATAATAAAATGGAAGATCTGTGAATGATTCAATTAAACATATTCTGTTTTCAAAGCAAGCACCACATGGGTAGAATAAAATATGACTTATCTACACGATGCCATGCGCCATCATCGTTAGCGCGCAAATTGATGCTCGAGAGGTGCGGCATTAGTACAAAGTTAGATGTTTGTCTTTAGACAATGACTAGTGCAAGTTGAAAGAAGACAGTGCAACCATGCGCTAACGATGATGGCGCATGGCATCGTGTAGATAAGTCATATTTTATTCTACCCATGTGGTGCTTGCTTTGAAAACAGAATATGTTAATTGAATCATTCACAGGTCTTCCATTTTATTGTCATTTTGATGATTTATATTTCTTATTCACATGAATTCGATTTCTAACACAATCGCTTTGATTTTTAGTAAACACTTCTTTCTGGTAATTCTCCATTTTGCTATTCATAATGTGTCTGTAACTATGTTCAAGTTCCCCATAAAGATTTACGATCTCAGAATCATTTTTATTTAGATATTTTCATTTTACTTGCAGCGCTTTTTCAACGTTTGTTATTACTTTATTCGTATCTTACCGTCTCCATAAACTAAAGTTCGTTGACATATCATTCTATAAACCAACATGGACAATAAATGACTAAACATCGTTCTTTGTGCTTTCCGGTATAATTTTGAAGAAGAACGAAGAGAGAAAAATCGCGTATAACAAATTAACTGTCTATGTATACTGATATAAATACCGTCATGGTTCGATAAATTTGTAATGTTGCTTATGTAGAAATAACCCAATAATTATTAGTGTAGGAGAAAAGCGAGGGTCAGTTTTTGAACAGTTCATATCTTTCAGTTACTTATTAGAAGGACAGAATAACACACGATCTCTGGTCATCAAACGGTGGAAATCAAAGTAAGTTATTTTACGTATAACTTCGCGATCAGGATTCCGACTCTTCCGCGAACAGAACCCCGCCTCATCCCGGAACGAACTCTTCCGCGAAGAGGACGCCGACTCCTTCTCGAACAGGATCCCGACTCTTCCGCGAACAGGACCCCGTCTTTACCAAAATAAACAATCAAAATGAGTTTTTTCCAAAATAAAACAATGAGATTTTTGTTTTTTTATTTATTTTAACAGACACAGATATCTCGGACGCTATGCCAATCGAAATAATTTCTTGTGAATGAATTTTAATTGGACGACGCC